TATAATGAAAACAATTAATATAAGAAATATAAAAATATATAGATAATATAAAATATGGTGCTATATAAATCCTGTATGATAATAATATTATATAAAACAACAACAAATGTATATAAATTATGAGAAAGAAAATTGAGAGAAATGTCTATGTACTTACTGTAAACCCTATGTTATCCAGAATTCAACTAACCAGAACTCTCATCTAACCAGAAAAAAATCCTGTGTACTCACTGTTCTACGGCATGTATTATCCTGGAAATGATCATGTGTCTATTTGTCTTAATTTGCTTTTGATTGCTGCATTTCAATATCAAAATGAAGTCAATACAGAGTTGATGTTATGATATGGTATAGTATGGGGTACGGCATTAGTTAGACCTATTTTTAATAGTAACTCTCAAGCAACGAGAAACTACATTTATCTAGAATCTACCAATCCCCATTAATGCTGGATAACGGGGAGTTTACTGTATAATAAGAAATAAAAAGTAAATGTTTTTAATATCACAGTATGATATTACAAACATTGTAGGCAGGTAAAACCTGTTTTGTTAAACACTCTATTTGAGATCTGCTTTTTCATGATCTACACGGCAATTATTGTGAGCAGCAGCATTGTGGAGACGTGACTATTGGAATGATGATAGATAAGGTCATATTTTGGAGGAATCTATCGGATGATCAGCTTGTATATGTTTCATAAGAACATTGGTTATAGTAAGTGTACAATGTGTCTCTATTGCTGGATACTAGTCTATGGCGACTATTATATGAGGGAAGACCCAGGCGACGTTGGCATTTATTTTATTATAAATAGAGAGTTGAAGTTTTTGTGGGATTGATAAACCCACCAAATGTACTAATCTCTGCGCTGGGGAGCAGACGTGGATGTGCTGTCCACAGCTTCTACTGATCAGATGAATTGATAAGCCATGATCGATCGCTCACTGCTTGCTGCAGTTCCCCTATATACACTTCTGGTACAGGAGCTGCGGCTGTCCGAATGCTGATATTAGCGGTGCATTCGTGTTAATTCGTAGCTCCAGGTGAATGTGATACATGCACACAGAGCAGATGACACAGGCGGTGTGTATGTGTCTTTAAGGCTGACGGCAGGCCAGGGGGGCGGCCGGGTCCGGAGCACGTGCCAGGATGTTTTATTGCTGCTGTGGCTGAGGCTGGGCGGCTGGATGTGTGCGGGGAAGGAGGGGGGGAGGGAGATGGTTTAGATTATGCCGGGAGAAGGCGAATAGCAGCTGCTGTCCTAAAACCTGGGAAAACCACTCCCCCCCAGGATGGTAAAGCTCATTGGAGGCTGAAGGACACTTCATTGTACGGTCTACAGGTGGCGCTCCTGAGCTGCTTAAAGCCAGAAGATGGTTTGTGTAGTACAACGTTACTGCTTTATCAGGTGCTATAATGCATATGGAATAGCAAGAAAACCTTTAGTCTTTAATTTGTGAAATGTCTGAAATACAATCACAATGAATCTATTTATCCAAAATAAGGTTGTAGCACAGTAAAGCTTTCTTAGAATGGAATGTATTCACATGTCTCATTCCATCACATAGCCCCAAAATAAGAGGATTATTCCTCATTTCAGGACAATGGATGAAGCCATGCACATGATTCATTTACACCCCATTGGACAGATGAACATTCAGAACTGATGGTTTATAGTGCAAATATAGTCTAATGTTATAAGGCTATTTATTCCAAACGGTATATAGCTCAATTTCCTTCCAAACAGATAATATAATAATAATAGTAAATATTATTATACATACAGGATATACATATTGCACTAACAATTTGCGCAGCGCTTTGCAAAATGGAGAAGACAGTACAGTTACAACACAAATTACAATACAATACAATTTCAGTACAATAGGGTTAGGAGGGCCCTGCTAATGAGAGTTTCCAATCTAGTAGGAGGGGCAAGTGATACAAAAGGTAATGTTTAGATTGAGTTATTTTTTCATTTTATTATTAATCATAAAGGTTATCTTGACAACGGACTAAAAGCATCAAAAACCCTCCAATCCAATCAGCGCATAGCATAGTAAAGCCTTCTTAGATCAGAAGGTATTCACATGTCTCATTCCATCACATATCCCAAACATGAGAGGATTATTCCTCATTTCAGCATAGTGGGCGGAGTCATGCTAATTATTAGTTTTCACCCCAAAGAGACAAATGCCCGGCCGAACCGATGGTGTACATTGCAAATATAGCCGAAAGGAATGGAGTCTAAAGCACACCACACACATTCTGATTGTACAATCTTGTTTAGATCTACCAACAACTATGTAGTGAGAGGACCTGTTTGATTGGATACAGATTGATGGGTTAGCTGGGTCCACTTATGGCATAGCTTTGGTAAGTAGAAAGTTGATTGTACAAAGATTGTAGAATGTAAGGTGGTCCTAAAGGAGGGCAGGAAAGGAGTGTTTTGCACGGCTGTGCCCACTCCTCCTTATATGAAGAATAATCTTTTGAGTTTTGGGATATGTGATAGAATGATAATTGCAGAAAACGTCACCAGCACGTCAAATCCTTATAGGATCAAAATTCGTAGATTTATTGCAAACTCATGTCAGTTACACAAGCGCTTTCGGGGCCACACAGGGTCCCTTCATCAGGCATAGCAATGGCCATTTCGGGGGGCACACAAGCGCTTCCCGAAAGCGCTTGTGTAACTGACATGATTTTGCAATAAATCTACGACTTTTTCGGGCAAAATATTAAAAAGGTGCGTCATTTACAGTTACATCACTTATATAAAGCCATCTTAATGGTATCTTTATTTCTCTTTATTTCCAGCGTCCTTGAATATGGGGTTGTTATGTATTTATTGCTGTGCCCCTCTTGCTCTAGTTCAGTGACTTATTTATTGCCAGGATTGGAATGGCAGTCTCTGGACCTGCACAAATAATTCAGCGGTAGTAACTCTTACATTTCTGTCCTCATAGAGTCTCTTTGCTGTTTTCTTTCAGTACTCATCTTTATAAATTAATAGAAACCTATAAGATATGTATCAGGATTATTGGTGGGGTATCTAAACCCTGATTAAAGATGGAGATAGCTAACCAATGAAGAACTTTTTCTTGGAGCCTATAGTTACAAAACATTCTGCATCTTTGAGGGTTTGGATACAATACATATTCTAGATTTATACAAAGGTAACCACAGTTAATATTTACCCCGAGTTTCCCCTCATTTTGATATTGTTTATATGTAGAATGTAGTCTACAAGGTACCTTGAAAAAAAAAATTCCTGGCAGATTTTAATGTTTTTGGAGTATTTAACTTTTAAAAGACAAAGATATATTTAACTAAATATGAAACAGAGAAAGGAACACTCAGAACTAAATTGGCCCCAAATTTATTGCACAATTTAATGCTGGTGGAAGTATTTTTTGTCTCTAGTATACATTATATATTTCTGCTGTCTACACAGAGGTATTGGAGTAAGAGCCTTGTAACTGCTCTTGAAGCTTCAGCCCAGTGTGTGTTTGTTAAATAGGTACTCGGCCATGCCAGGATGACTGGACCAAAGCTTCTTCAATGTCCAATGTTTAATGTGATCTCCAAGTTTCCAAATAGTCTCTACGCTCTCTGACAAATAAATAGACTCCAGGAAGTATGTCATAAGAGGGTCATTCTTGTCAGCAGCCACGCTATGGAGGTCCAGCAGAGCCTGGTTTACTGTCTTCTCCAGCTTCTCGCAAAAAAATAGTTCATGCAGTTTTTTTGCGATTGCACTGGACCGGAACACAGGCATTATTGCTGTGCCACACGTTCTGGTGTGGGTGATCGCACTGTGGGCGAGGGGGGCATGTCTGCTGTGCCATTGACTTGAATGGCACCACCACGCCCCCTTCCTCCCTGGAATGCAGGGTGGCTTCCACTATGCGATCCAGTGCGTTCCAGCAGCTAACCGGAACTGAGGATGGTGTGACCTGGCCTTCAAGGCAGTCTGTAGCACCTGAAAACCATTCGACTTTGAGAATTTAATTCTGGACATGAAATTACTGAGTCTGCTGAGCTGGGCCATTTACTGTAGTAGTCATTGAGTCCATGCTAGTCGTTTTCCCTATCAATGAGGTGTATATGGGTATCACAAATACTTCTTATGTGATGACACACTCACTGTTGCTTCTTACACACATGTAGCTGCCAAAGGCAGGTACACGCTTTGTGCTTTACTGATCATCATCCACTGTTGTAAAAGCTGAACTCCAGGATAAGAAAATATTATCAAAATACAAAAGGCATGTGTATTCTAATTTGAATCTTGGTGTGCTGTGTGTATTTCTTCCAGATCTGTGCAGTAATCCAATGAGAAACTCTGACATTGTGAAAGAGCTTCCTGTAATAAAGACCGTTCACTGCTTCTCTCTCTCTTCTTGTGCAAGGTGACTGGTCTTGTCTCCACCCCCTCCTGCAGTTTTCTGCTGGCAGCCTGTAGTGGGTGGAGCTGCAGAGTCCCTCCCACAGCTCTGCTCTCTGCACAGGCTTTGTGCAGCGCAGCAATGCCATCACTGCTACATTTACAAGGAAATTTTGGGTTTGATATCGTAGTTAGTGCACACAAAGCTGTTTTATATCCTTTGCTCCTATCCAGGCATTTATTTAAATGAAGTTTTTGTACCTAGAGTCCAGCTTTAAATCTTCCCTGATTCCATTGATATTCATCAGTTTAGATCGTTGGTGCCTGGAAGTGTGACTGGCAGCATGTATTTTGCATAATAATTGTTTATGTGGGATCTTCTATATGCAAACTTTATACAGAACCCACCATGTAAAGTTCTTTTAAAAATGTTTGCTGTCAGACTGTCTAAAGTGAATCTTATGTTAATCCAATGTGGGTGGTTCTATATATCTATAGATATATAGCTATATATCTATATATATATATATATATAGTACATACTGGTATACATATTATTTTCTTTTTGCCACTAGTACACTAGGGGTTTGAAGATACAATCATCCAATATAGGAGAAATTAGGGCAGTGATTCCTGGTATATTTTGAGGTCTCTGGTATTGATCGTTGATCAGCAGTCTGTTGGGAATGGGACATGTTGCAGTGGATGAAGGTGGCCATTCCAAGGTCTCAGGTGCCACGAATGTGTAATACAAAATTACTCAAAGCAGCCAATGTCTGTTTCATGGTATGTTCCGTTTGCTGAAAAAGGAAACCTGTACGGAAAGAAATGCAGCGGCTGCCATTGCTGGTCTCCATCTAAAAATGCTAGTTGTCTGGCTGTCTATATTTTCAGCACTTTGAGATGCTGACCTGGAACAAGTATGCAGATCAGGAAAGTCTTAGTGAAGTCAGAATTTCTGGTCTGCATACTTGTGCTGAGTCTATGGGGTTGAGTCTAGGCCCCGTTCACATTGAGCGATTTATCGCACGGTAATTCCCGCGATATCGCGGCTATTTACCGCGCGATATCGCTCTTCAATGCATCTCAATGGGGCAAAGGGTCCTGCTGTCGCGGGTCGTGTGTCGCTACAGCAGGACCCTTTTTGGAGCGGATTTTGCCGCGATTCTCGCTTGCTCAATGCAAGCATTTGAGCGATATCGCACGGCAAATCGTGGGATATCGCGCGACAAATCGTGCGATATCACGCAAAATGCAAATCGCGCGACAAAAGCGCGATTTGCGAATCGCGCAATGTGAACGGGGCCTTAAGGCACATAGCTAATTTTCCCTTAGCTTAGTGATTGTGGTGAAAATTAACTTTACAAAGAATACCCAAGGAAAATGTGCATTGAGAACAGAAAAACAATATTTTTGCTTGCACATTAATGGATGATGGAAGTTATCAGAACTTCACCTCATTCACTAAGCTAAGGGGAAACTTCCATTGAAAAGTGTAAATTCCTAAGTGAACAGCATATTTGCCTTTAGTAAATCAACCCCAGAGACTCAGGAATTACTAAAGCCCCTGGATCAGCATGATAGTCAGGGAACTAGTTCAGAAGAGGTCAGCAATGGCAGCTTCCATACTCCCTTGCTATTGGGTTTCTTTAGGCTCCACTCACACCTAAGGCCTCATTCTCATGCAGCTTGTTGCCCCATACTGCATTAATGGCCAGTTTGAGCTGCAGGAGGAAGCGTGCAGGCAGCTCATTCAACTCTATGGAGAAGCAGTCTGTGTGCAGATGTCAAAACTCGGAGCTGTAGGAAGCAGCATGTGAGGGCGCACAGCTCCTGCGTCTCCATAGAGTTGAATAAGCTCCCCGCATGCTTCCTTCCGCATCTCTGGGCACATCAAAAGCTGGCCCTTCACACTGTACGGGGCAACACGCCCCATGTGAATGAGGCCTAACTGTGAGCATAGCCAGGCAATTTAGAGGCGTGTTTGTATAAACGTGTTTAAGGCAGTGAGGCCAAAATGCAGGATTCTGTCCCAAAAGAAGCTTATGTATGCTTTGTAACTTCATGCTACTGGTGACAAGCGACACAACCCTCAGGTGCAAACAGTTGCCATTGAAAACAATGGGATTCCTCTTGTGGGTTGTCACACTTAGGGAAAAGAGCAGTAAAACCCCTAGGTGCGAATGTTGATCGGTTGCTGCAGCTTATTGTATTCAATATTTAAACTATGTTATAATTAAGTTCTTTGAGGGGAATTTATCAAAACTGGAGCAGACAGACTCTGGAGCAGTTGTCCATGGCAAACAATCAGCTTCTTTCTTTCCTTTTCAAAGCTTAATTGAACATACTGAAGAGAGAAGCTGATTGGTTGCTATGGGTAACTGCTCAGTATTCTATCTGGTCCAGTTTTGATAAATTCTACCTTCTGAGTTTAAATATTCTGGTCTGTATTTATCCTGCTGGTGCTTCCCGAGCACCTCCTTGACAGGCAGCGAGCAGCGGCCGCACCGATCATAGAGCCGTCGGATGCGGCGGGCGGCCGTGTGCAAGTGGCAGCGGGGGTCAAGGGCCCATTCGAGGTGGCTTCAGAGAGGCCCGGGGGGCAATTGCCACCCTGCCCCCCGACCCAGTCCGCCCCTGGCTACAATACATGTATGACCCCTGCCTTGATAGAAATAGATTTAGTCCAAATCAGTTTAATGTCTGGTTTTTAAGCCCTAAACAGCTTAGGGGGGCTTTTTCTGTTTCCACATATTTACTATTGGCAGCAATAACTAATTTTGATTATAATGTATTACTATAATTTTATTATTTTATAGAACACCAACATTTTGCTAAGTGCTGTACAAGCAACCTTGGATCACAGTCTCTGTCCCCGAAGGAACCCACTATGCCCTTACCAAAGTTCCACAGAACAGTTTAGGTGCGAATTGACTAATCTTCCGTGTTTTTGGATAGTAGGCGGAAACTCATAAAATCTCCATGCAGATGGTGTCCTTGCTGGGAATCCACCATAGGACGCCAATGTTTCAAGGCCAAAATGCTAGCTACTTAGCAGCTAAACTTTCTATAATTATTGTATTTTTCGTGATGTACTTGCTAGTTGACTAGAAAAATCATTCAAAATAAAAATTGTTACAGATAAATTACTATAATTTGGTGTATCAATTTTTTGTAAAATCAGATTTAAGCACTGACATAATAAAATACAGAACTACAACTCCTCAAGCAGAAAAGCCTCATTGTAGGTGGAAAAAGCAAAGTGCCTAAAAAAGAGGAATCACTGTATCAGTATTAATGGTATTGCCAAACCAAATCAATTGGGAATACAAATAAATCCTAAAGTGAACGTGAATGATATTCTCAGGCGGGCTGCTAGTGTAAGGTTCATACTTTCAAAACAGGTGGTCTCAGCACAGATGACACAGCCGTGGGGTTGGCCATGTCTCTAAGATTTGAAATGTCTGGTCTCATCCGTGACTTTTACTTGCCAAACACCTGGAAAAGAGTGAGACCTGGCTGCTGCAGACAGAAGCCAACAAGCCCTTATGGTGGGATTTGACAAGGAATTTCCTACATATACTGTGACTGTTCCCTTTCTTATAAGGCGGGTTACCACTTTTCAAAGGGTATGACGTCTGTGAAAGGAGCTATACCATTTAAGGGTTATTTACTAAAGGGCACATGTAAATAGCTATAGGATCCAAGACTGGAACATTGGGCACACCCGGTCATATTTTAATTTTAAACTTTGCCCCTGAAACTTTCTTTAGTACATTGGAGCCTTGATCACCATGGCTTATAAGAGTAAAAATGCCCATCTAGTATAAAAGATAACATGTACATTTCCTTTCTCCCAGACTCCCCATATGACCTACAGCAATACACAATTAAATTAAACTAGTGCACCATCTGTGTGACACCGAGACAGAAAAGCCAGGTTTGCCAATGACTGATTGTAGAAATTAAAACATTGATTTCCATGTGTTCCTCGGTTCCATCTATCAGCAATTCCTTTTAGCATCATCTCTAATAACTATGCACATGATATACAGTCATCAATTTCATATAAATTTTTTTTTATAAAACAACTAAACAATATATGACAGAGCATATAACAACAGCGAGACAAGTCCATCATCTTCAAAATAATACAATATGCAGTTTTATTAATTACAAGTAAAACTTCCAAAATAGGAAGAAATGTTTAAGAGCACATTTGTATGTCTTTGGCATCATAATAATTTCGTACATAATCGAAATAAGTTGCAATCTTATTATACAACAATACATTCAATATGAATATCTGCTATTTACAAACATAATAGTGCATTCTTGCTACAAAAAGAGAGTTTCCTATTTGTAACTAATCATCTTTCTAAATGAAAGTTGTCCAGTACAGTCCCTAATGCAGTCCAGTTACCAGGGTCTCCATACAGAGTCTGAAGTGACCGATGGCATGCCAGAGGGGGACATGGCAGCTGGCACTCCATTGCTCACACTGGAGTTGGTGTAGACAGGAATGACAGGCCCACTGTGTGGGAAGGCTGGATTGGTGATCAGGAAGGCGAATTGTCCATCTGAGGCTGGCACTAGCTGAAAGCCTCCATAGACCTTGGCAGCTTCTACTGGCGGGCCACCCATCTTGCAGGGAACCCCACCCATGGGAGCAGGACTGCCCTGTGGGCCGTTTGCAGGAAGCTGAACCAGTGGCTGGCCAAACGCAGGGTGAGGGTTGGCAACAGCAGCCGGAATCTGGGGCTGGGCTGGGTAATTCATGGCATTGATCTGATTTATGCAGTTTGCCAGATGTCCCAGGAGACGGGTCCGGACGTCGGCGTTGACTCCTTCACAAGTGGACAGGAATCGAGTGACTTCGTTCATGCACTCGCTGAATCCAGCTCTGTATTTGCCCAGAACAGTGGGGTCTGTGCTGAGAGCAGCTGCAGAGAAAAAAGAACACACGGTTACATCACTGAAGACCAGACTGACCCACGCTACAGAGTTAATGCTACACATAACCTCTCTAGAACTGGCATTTAGTAAATGCATAACTAAAGGTGCATTCATGTATAGGGTGCAGGTAGCTCAGGTCAGTTATCAGTATCCTATCCATCCGGACTGGCTGACGAACCCTCCCTACACCCCTCCCCAGCAGTAACATGAGCTCCACGTAGACCGTGGGAAAGACAGTTAGAGCCAGCCCAGTAGAATGTATCTGAATGCCATTCAAAAGAAGTCTGGAAGAGATCAGCCAGAAAGGGAAGGATAGTGAAGGAATCCGAGGATAGAGCGGAGTGTGTGCTCGGTATGGACAGACTTGTAAAGGTCCCGAACTGCCTGGCCGGCTGCCTGGATTCTACTGACTGCCCGCTCCTTGGCTCCGGCTTTATATACAGCCGACAGCACGCGAACGCCGAGTGTGAAACTTCCAAACTTACTTTCCCACAGTAACTTTCAGCCAATGGGAGACAAGCGCACGCGTGGGCTGCAGCACGCCATTGGCTGCGAGGCGTGGAGGCAGGAGGCCAATGATAAGCCCTGGAGGGAGGGGAGGGCGGGGTTCTGATAGCACCCTGTCAATCAAGGGAGCTTTTGTAACTCTTTGTGAACTGATGTCAGTTTTGAAAAGCGCCTTTACCTTATCTATCAGCAGTCACAGGGGGGGGAGGCTGGAAAACACTTTATCATTCGGTAGTCTTAACTGGCATTAAAACGTTTTTTTATTCAGCAGGAAGAAGATGCTTCTAATATTATTATTAGAAGGTCAAATATCCATAACAATCTAGGATGGAAAGTCTCATAGATGTCATTTATAAGAGGCGAATCATTTCAATGACACATTTATATATGGGGTGCATTGAGGTGCAGCGCTGGATTAGAGATGTGTTAGATCTGCTCATATTAGATGTGTATGTCATTGTGTAGATTGTATGGCATTTGGCACAATGTTACATTGATACTCTATTGCTGCATACAAAGAGGATTACAACTGATGTGCCCATACATTTTGTGATACATCTGGATATTATGGCGTAAACCCCCTGAAATCTGGACCAGAAGTGGATCGGCTTGATTCCAGCTATTATATGAAATAATGAGCTGGGATCAATAGCGGAATGCTTGCTGCAAGTCTCCCAGATACACTTCTACAATACAGCTGATATTAGAGGAACACGTATTTTATTTGTATTAGTAACCATATGGAGCTTGGTGTATCTGATACATGCACAGAGAGCAGATGAGCTCTGATCCGGCTGCAGTAGAAGCAGCCTTGTCCACTAGCAGAGCAGCGCAGGGACACAGGCGGTGTGTGTCTCTTTAAGGCTGACTGCAGGCGAGGCCGGGTCCGGAGCACGTGCCAGGATGTTTTATTGCTGCTGTGGCTGGGCGGCTGGATGTGTGCGGGGAAGGAGGGGGGGAGATGGTTTAGATTATGCCGGGAGAAGGCAAATAGCAGCTGCTGTCCCGAAGCCTGGGAAAACCACTCCCCTTCAGCATGGGTAAGGCTCATTGGAGGCTGAAGGACACTTCATTGTACGTCCATAGGTGGCGCATGTGAGCCGCTCAGACTCCCAACACTGTGTGTACTGCAGCCTTCCTGCTTCCATCACATACGGATGTGATAATGTAAAACCTGAAGCTCACCACACACCTTACATTCTGCTTGTACAACGGCTTTAGATCTACCAATAAGTATGTAGTACAAGGGTCTGTCTGCATAAAAATTGATTGCATAGTTTAGCAAGTCCTCATATCACATAGTTTTGGTAGATCTAAAGCTGATTGTACATAAATTGTATGACCAGATTGTAATGTGTATGGTGAGCTTTAATTTGATCCCACACATTGCACCTGTCAGAATACCTGATCAGTGCGGGCAGCTCATTGGCTGCCGGCTCTGATTACATGGAGATTTTCCAGCAGGCTCCTTCGATCAGCTGATCGAGGAATGCTGGCTGAAAAGGAGCCGACAGCCCCACACACCGCAAATTTCAGCTGGCACATTAAAAACCACCCAAAATTCACGCCAGTGTATGGGCACCTTTAGTCTTTTAAAGGATAATTAAACCCTCAGGGGTTTTTGCATTTTTTTTTTAAAGTTACGAAAAAGGTTAAAACTTACCTGTGTCTCTGCCGCTAGGTCCTGTCCAAAGATCTGAAAAAACGTAGGTGGCCGCAAAGGATCATGGGGCGGGCGAATGCGCAGTACAGATTCTGGCATGTGCACAGACTCCATGGGACAGGAAGAGACTGGATCAGAGACTGGCACCAGCGCTGGAGAGACTCCTGAAAACCACAGGAAAGAAGATGATCGGATCAAGAGGCATCACTTAAAGTAAGTCCTTAAAGCAGCATGAGGGGGGATAAAACAATATCCTTTGATGTCACTTTAAAGGAGAACTATGGGGTTAAGGCTTTTCCCCATAGTTCTCCTAAGGGTAACGGGAAGACACAAACTAGCGTCCTCCCGTCCCGTCACGACGCAGCTGGAACGGATCCCGACAATTATGTCTGGATCAACCCAGCTGCGTGAGTGACAGCTGGCTCTGCCTATCTAGAGGCAGAGCCAGCTGTACCCGCCCCCTCCCCTGTCCGTTCCACCAGTCAGTGCTGTAGGATCGGAGCGGGGAGGGGGGAATCCAGTCTTGCAGTATACTGAGACGCCGCAGCTGAAGCGGATCCCGACAATTATGCCGGGATCCGCCCAGCTGCGTGACTGACAGCTGGCTCTGCCTATCTAGAGGCAGAGCCAGCTCTACCCACCCGCGTCCGTTCCACCAGTCAGCGCTGGCGGATCAGAGCTGGGAGGGGGGAATCCAGCCCCTCCCCTGTCACGGCAGAGAGCAGTGACAGGATCGAGAAGTGAGCGAACGCCGGTATGTGTTCGCTCACTTCCCGATCTACTGAGCCGACCTGTGACAGTCTCATTGTCACAGGTCGGCTAGAACTATGAGGTGAGTGAAAATCACTCATCTCATAATTCTCCTTTAAGTTTATAGTACGTTTTATACTTTTGCTGTCTGTCTCATTGGGTATATTATTTCCCCTCACTTCCTGTCTCAGAGATGCAACAGGAAATTAGAGACAATCTCCCAAAGTGAGGGGAATTCCCCTCTTAGTTGTCCCATTGTGAGATTTCCCTTTACTTCGTGTTCTGGGGACAACTCTAAAATGTTACATTTCCCCCCGACTCTTGGTGACAATGGTCACCAGAACAAACAGAGAGGTTAATCCCCCCAATGGGGGACACAGACAGAAATAAAACCCTGACAGGGGGTCTAACCTTTCCCACTCTATCCAAAACTAAACACAAAGGTTTTGCTTAGAGATCACATCCTGTCTGTGTCTACAGAGTCAAATGTTGTACTGGAAATCTAGTACATTGCACACCCATAGAGATGCACAGTCCTAAAATCTCTCATACAGTCCAGGCCATGACTGTGAGCAGTCCCAGGAACTGATAACACCCCGACCAGTGAGGCGTTCTGTAATGACACTGGTCCCAAGTGAACCGAGGCTCGCCTTCTCTAAATCAGAGCTCCATATACTGCTGTAGGTGAGACAGACCTACACTTCTTACAGAATGACATCCACCAATTTTATTTCATGTCCTTTACACAGCGGTGACCCTAGAACTGTCTTATGGGTTCTATATAAAATGTACATAGAGGAGACCGCATACTAAAACAATAGATTATTATGCAAACTACATGCTGCCCATCACGCTTCCAGGCGCCATGATCTGAAATGACGAATATCAATGGATCAGAGGACATTGAACAACACCTACTAGTGACCTGATGGGATTAAGTGATGATCAAGGGAGAACAAAGCCTTCACCTGCCATTGTCAGCCGTGTGTGTGTTAACAAGAGGCAACAGTCAATGTGTTATCACATAACAAGTACTTGTGATAGCCATAAACACCTCCCTGAGAGGGAAAATGAGCTGAGTGGATGACCGAGATCATGAATGGAGTGGGGAGGGCTTAAAACACCTGCCAGGTTTTTATTGTGGTCTGTGTCCCCCGTTAGGTACAGATGAGCACAGAACTCGGTCCGAACCCGAGCTCCTCCGGACCTGGAAGGATCCCCTCCTTCCGTGACACCCAATCAAATACCGGAGGGGAATTCCCCACCCACAGCTTGACAAAAGCAAAGGGGCGCAATGCAGTGATGTCATTGACCTTATATGGCTACATGCCTATATTTGGTAAATTATATTTGGTGTATGTGGCCATATAAGGTGAGTGACATCAGCACATGCATCCCGCCCCTTGGCTTACATGCAGCTGCAGGATGGGGAATGCCCAGCCCGTAGCTGATTGGGTGGACATGCCCATGGCACTTCCTTTTTTCGGAGAAGCTCGGGTTTAGGCCAACCTGGGCTCATCCCTATCGTTAGGGAGATTCACCCTCTCTATTTGTCCTGGTGACTGTTATAACTCAAAGTTTTGGGTTGTCACCAGAACAGGAGTAGATGGGCAATCTTCCAATAGATCTGGTGACCCTGTACACCACCAGGGGTTTCCCTCACTTGATGCATCTTTGTCTTTATATAACCTCAACAACTAAGTAACTTTGGAGGGATTATCTCACTTCCTGTAGTGGTTATTAGACAGGAAGTAAAGGAAAATCTCCTCAGTGGGACACAGATGGCACAAAAAATCTGACGGGTTATCACCCTTCTTTACTCTATCCTCAACTAAAAAAAACATTTTGTCTTTAGTTCTACTGATTTTTGTACCAATGTTGATATGAAATCTCTCATCAGAACATTTCACAATGCCACCAGAGACTTGACCAATGCCGTTTCAAATTACTTTTATTTTAACATTCGATTATGGAATGAATGGAGTTTGTCAAACCAAAACCACATTCACTTTTAGAATATCATTTCTTTGAGAAATAAATTCCATTCCATCCATTTGATTTTTTTTTCCATCACTGTGGTTGAAACCGATCATCGACTTGACCTTATTAACAATTGGAAATTCAACGAATGTTCATAAAATGCATTTTTTTCTAATTAAATTTTACTGGTGTATGTCCAGCTTAAAGGAGAACACCGCCCCCCCCTTCCGGCACTGCAAGGGTTAAGTGCTTGTT